GACTCTATAATGACATTGATGCTATCTGGGAATAAAGATCTTGCAGTTACAAAGCACAGGCAAATATCCAGGAACTTTTCATGTGTCAGGGAGAGACTGAGGTTGAGTGGTGGAACATCTGGTTTGCACGCAGAGAGTCTCAGGTTCAGTTCCCAGCATCTCCAGTTAAACAGGGTCAGGTAGTAAGTAGTATGAAAGACCCATGCGGCTGTGGTCAGGCAGCTGTGGTCAGGCAGGTTGCTGGTGGGAGATCTCTCACTCTAGCAGGAAACCTGGCAACCATACATGGACCTCTGTGGTTCTTCAGAAGCCTACCATGGCTGTCTCAATTAGCAGAGCAGTAGTGGCTGAACAGCTCTGCTGGAAGACAGCTTTCCACCATTACCTGTCATCCTTCCCTCCAATACGCAGCCAAATGGGACTCTGAGGTGTATTCTAAGGTCTGCTGCAATTGATGTAGGCTGCTGGTAAGAACCAACAGGCATGGCTCACTGTCAGCATCTTTCAGGAACTGAGCATAGATTTTTATTGTAGGACCCAGTGCCCTTTGCAATGCTCTGGGGTTCATTGGCAGACAAATCAATGTGTAAAGGTTTCTATGAAGGTAGAAATATATTGGAAATAGAGATGTGCAAATATGGGCATTTCTATTTCTTTTGGTTTCACATAATTATGGGTTTTGATCAGCCAATTTTTTTTCTTGTCACTGATTCCTTTCCCCCCTCTTTTTCATGGCATTTTTTTTTTTACATTTTCTGTGCCATTTAGGCTATGCAGTTGACTCACGAATAATGTAGGAAAATGTTATGGGGAAAATCCAGTTCATGGAAACAGAAAATAGTGGAACAGCAGAGGTTCATGGGTCTGTTCCTTTTAAGGGACATCAGCCTAAGCAGCAAGCTTTGTGAAACTCATCTCTGTTTGAAGATGGCTGAACTATGGACACGTTCCTTGGTGCAGCTACTGGTGGTTCCATTCCAGTTTTTCCTTATCCTCACATATCTTCTCTCTCTTTCTTTTTCCTACAGTGAACCAGTCAAAGGATATATCCAGTCAAACCCAGCCTGGTACTGGGCTTCTTAGTAAGTATTAGCTCAGCAAAGGTTTTTATAGGCATGCTTATGTCATACATGGTTGGGGCAGCCAAACATCTGCACAAAATGTGCATCCTCATCCTATGCATCTTTTCTTTGAAGTAAGCCAATTGAAATCAATGGGACATACTCCAAAAAGGTATGCAAAGGATTGCCAAAGTTAAGCAAATTTTTTACATGAGAGGAATACAATCACTTGGAGTTGATTGTCTTTTCTTATAAATGCATGAAATTCATTAGCATTTGTACCAGGCTCTAATCCTGCACAGAGTAGGGCTTGTTATCATGCTGGGCATGATTAGATTGCTGGCCTTGTACATTTTCACACCTGATGCACAGAGTAAAAGTGATGCCCACCTACTCTGGGCTGGAGTTTTAGAGTCGTGCCAGCTTGGAGGGGGGCAGAAGTATTATTCATGGAGGAACATATTTCCCAAAATTGCAGATGTTGACCATTTTTACTGCCCACTGATTGTGCTGTTGCTTTGGCATAATGGGGTGGTGGAGGTGGTTGGAAGAGTCTTCACTCTGGGAATAATCACATGAGCAATTTCAGAGAAATAGGGAAGCACAGAGTGAGCATGACAGAATCATAGCTCCACATAGCCAATCAGGTTTCACTGTGTGCTGTTGGAACAAAGCCAGCAGAGGTTGCGGTCACACACACTAAATGATCCACTTTCAATCCACTTTCAGTGTACTTTCCAACTGGATTTTTGCTGTGTGAACTGGCAAAATCCAATTCGAAAGTGCATTGAAAGTGGATTATTTAGTGTGTGTGACCACAGCCAGTATGTAAGGGCACTGATGGTGGATGGGCCTCACTTTGAAAAGCTGCCAAAGGAGTTGACTTGCTGTTCACTACTGATGTCAGTTTTTCCAATCATTCCTCCACAATGGCCAGTTCTTTGTAAACCACTTTTTAAAGTTGCATACAGTAATGGACAATTCAGTTTTCTGAGCATTTCAGGTTTCATTTGAAAACAGTGCATTTCTAGCCCTTTTGGCAGCAAATATATGCTTGAAAGTATGTAGATAATGCCTGTTGCAATCTCAGGAGATACAGAGGTAGTTGTGAATTTCCTGCATTGGTCAGGGGGTTAGACTAGATGACCACTGGAGTCCCTTTCATCTCTATGTTTCTACATTAGCCCCTGGCCTATGACCCTCAGAAGCAGAGTTACACTAAACAGAGTAGCAGAGGTAAAATACATTATGCAAAATAAGAAAGATTATGCATTTTTTCCTCAATGTATATTGTTTAAACAAGTGTCAGAATTTAGGCTCTCTCAGCATAGCACCAAAGAGATGGTCAAGACGGCTTTAAAAAAACGATGGTGTTATGCTTCCAAATACAGTTCTGGATCTTATCATGTTTAAGTATATGTCACATGGAAGGAATGAAATTGTTTGCTGTACCAACAGGGGTGGGAAAAATGATTTGCAAGTGACATTTCTGTCTTATGTATACTGTGACCGTGGCTGATGCTTGGCTGATATGTTTTGCTGCCTCTCTGAGGGTCATCATTTGCACGGGTGAAAAGGTACAAGGTCCGCAATCTAATCATGCCCAGCATGCCTGGGAAGTGGCCTAGCATTGCTACTGTTATTTCTTGCTCTCCTACTTTGACAGTAGGGCGATTCTGCATCATTTGCTCCACATTTTCTCAACTGGGAGGGAAAAGTGCTCTAGCATTTGCTGCACATTTTCTCAACTGTGAGGGAAATGTGCAGCTCAAAACCACATGCAAATACCTTGGGACAGCATCGTACTGATGGCAAAGTCACCCCTGAATGGCCATAAATCTATGCAGAAGGTACCATAAAATCCAATTAACAAAAAAAGCCAAAGCAGCATGCAGTGTGGAGGCTACCATAAAATCCAATGATCAAAGAAAGCCAAAGCGGCATGCAGTATGGAGGCTACCATAAAATCCAATGATCAAAGAAAGCCAAAGCAGCATGTAATGCAGAGAGGAATTTCTGTTCCAACATAGGTTTCATAAAACAGTGGAGGGAAAAACCAGTGCAGAATCAGCCGATAGTCTCACATGAAGGAAATCGACCCCTTATCACAAAGTCAGAAAAAGTTTATCTTTTTAACGTGTGTATTTTGGGATACATAGCAGTAAGAGCAAGAAGAAAGGGTGGCAAGCTGTGAGTGGCCATGGTTGTCTGAGCCACCTCTGAGATGCATAACCAGCCATCGACCCCAAATAATCTGAGAAATTCCAAAGTTTCTTGTGCCTGTCCCATGCTATTAAAGCATCTGCTGATGAGGAATTTCCTGTGATGTCTGTAAGGTTATTTTTGACATTGGGGGAATCATTGAGCACGCCAAAGGTGAGCAATGCTGTGTGTGTGGCAGCAGCATTCAGAACCAGCCGCTTACTTTTGTTTTCACACAAGAAGAAGGAAAACGTTGGTGGACTGAATGGTGAGCGCATGGCCAGTGACCTTTGTACATTGTCTCTGTTCTACAAACAGATGGCACGTAGTTCCCACTCAGTGGACCAAAATGTAGCTAGTTCTCCGCTTTGTGACATCTAGGACTGGTTCAGATATGCATGCTTATCAGCATAGTGTGGTGCAGTGGTTAGAGCATAGGATCTAGGAGACCTGGGTTCAAATGTGACATAAAACTCACTCGGTAACCTTGGCTTAGTTATACTCTCTTAGCCTCACATACCTCTCAGGGTTTTGGTGAGGACAGCATAGAAAAGGGAGTGCCGTGAGTGCTGCCAGACACTCCTTAGAGGAAGGAGAGGATTAAAATGTGCTAGATAGACAGACTGCACCATCAAGTAACAATGTGCACGTGTGAATGAGCTGTCAGACTAATCACACAAGTAAAACTTACATGCCACCCAATGGCAATTCAAATGTGATGCCTTTCAGTTGAGTCAGCTACATTTTTGGCATCAGGATTTGAGGCGCCCTTGGCCAGGACATCATCAACAGGTACTTTTTACCTAGAAAAGGTAGGCCATATATGGAGAATTCGTTTGCACAGTCCCGATTAGTTGTGTTGAAGAGGGTAAACATGGTTTGTGATGTGATTCAGAGTACAAACGTGCATGGCTTCCAATTCCTGGATTTATTACAAACCAAACATTTCCCTTGAAAGCTCTTCTATGGCAGAACATAAAGTGAGATTTCCCATACATTCAGGATATGCGTTCAGTTGGTCTGTTCAAGTTCTAGACTCCAATCAAAGCTAAGCGAACATCACCAAAGGGTGAATGTTGTCTTCAGGCAACTGTGGAAACTCCAAAATCTAGAGAAAGAGAAGCAGAGTCTTGAAAGCCCAGAACAACCTGGGGCCATATTTAAAGGACAACTTCCTCTCAGCCCTTTTCACATCTACTTTGCTGCGGTGCTAGTCAAAGGATGATCAGCCGTGGCAGTCTTTGGAGATGGCTGGAGCAGAAATGGCTCAAGAGCTTTAAAGATACAGCTATATGGTTCCTCGTGGAAGAATGGGCCCTCCTTGATCCCAGGCAAAGACCCCTCTGCCTCCCTGGTCCACCCAATTCCCAAACGTAATCTGATTTCCCTGTTGGAAGGATGCGAAGAACTGTGGATGAGAGAGCCTGAGGACTTGAAAGAAAGGAAAGCCCTAGCCTATGTTAGCTCAGGTGAAGAATTAGCATAAATGGGTGTGCCACAGTTCATTCTTCACACCAGCTGCTTCTTACTACTCCTTTCCACAGTGAGGTTCGGTCAGCAGCATCCCATTAGAGGGCTTTCTCGGTTGTTGTACAGTGATCCTGCAACTGGCTGCCAGTTGAACTAGGGTTGCCAGGTCCCCCCTGGCCACCAGCGGGGGATTGGGGGGGAGTAGGGTTGCCAGCTTCAGGTTGGAAAACTCCTGGAGATTTGGGAATGGAGCCTGGAGAAGTCACGGACCTCAGTGGGGTACAGTGTCATGGAGTCCATCTTCCAAAGCATCCATTTTCTCCAGAGGAACTAATCTCTGTAGTCTGGAGATGAGCTGTAATTCCTGGGGATTCCCAGGCCCCACCTGGAGGCTGGCATCCCTAAGTGGAGGTTCCCACCTTACCCACATTTTAAGAGAACCTAGAAAACAACTTTATTATGGAGGGCTTTTTGCTAATTTTTATTGCTGTATCTGTAGCCTATAAATATGGCTTTTGGCTGTTGTTTATCACTGTCATTTTGACTTGTTTTATGATTTTATTGTTATGAATGCTTTATGCATTCCTTTGTAAACTGTCTTGGGATCACTTTGTGGGGGGAAGGAAAGCCTATATAAATTTGAAATAAATGATTAAAAAGACAATGCTCCCAGAGATTTTCTGGCTGTGTACTCTACAAACTCTGCATCCAAAGTAGCCTGTAGCTTTGCAGTGGTTTATTTTCTCGGTTATAGCCTTAGTGTTTTACCATGAGCTTTTTACCAAACGGTGACAAGACAAAACTATTCCTTCCACAACCCTCACTGGTGCTGTCTGAGCTGGAGCTGGTGTTCAGGGTATGGACAAAACTAGACTGAAAGAGAAATCACATTCCATACATTCTCTTCATTTTCACGAGAAGTTAATTTGGAACTCTTGTGGGAGGAAAAGTCCCACCACATATTTTCCTAGCATTCTTCTGTGGTTCTGATAAATCACTGGATCAATTCTGAATGAAGCTGTGTCTGACTGTTCTTGATTTTGGCAGGCACAGCTTGGTTTGTGGTGCTAAACCTGATGAGAAAAGCTAGCTATTGGTAACATCCACCTCCTCTCCACTCTTCTATACCCAATGAAGTTTCAGTCTTCAGGGGGTTTTGCTAGTTGCAAAAGAACAAAAACCCTAGAGACAAATCTTCACTCAAGAAGGCCTCAAAGACGGTAATCTTGAGGTGAAATTAGATTGTAGGTGACTTTTTCAAGCTTGCAACTCCCAGTCTGAAAACATACAGCACTCTTGTTGCAAATGTAACTGGGTCCTGCTATTTCAGGAACAAGCTGCTTTCCCATTAGGCAGAAGGTTAGGTGACAGCCAAGTGAGCCAGTTTAGGGTTACATATTATATAATCTTTTACATTGTGGATCAAATTTAGGGTTAAATTTACAAGTTTAGGGTTAAAGCCAAGTGAGCAAAGTTAAGGCTAAAGACTATATAATCGTTTACATTACGGAAATATACTTGTGGAATTTTTAAAAGATTACATTCTGCCAGTTTTATTTATTTAGATATTTATACTTTGCTTTTTTCTCAATGTGACTCGAAGCAGTTTACACCATCATTTTCCCTCCATTAACAACCCTGTGAGGTAGGTTAGGCCAAGAGAGAGGTGCTGGCATCAGGTCACCCAGCAAGTTTCCTTGGCAGAGTGGTAGGGTTGCCAGCCCCCCAGCTGGCTGTGTGGGAGAAAAATAAAATTTAAAAAATGGATGATGCCAACAGTGAGATGACACACCTGGGAAGACCTGGAGATAGAGTTGGCAGCCCCTCCGCTGGGGCAGGGGATTCCCTGCCCCTCAGCAGGTACTCCCCACCACCACTCCGCTGGCTGGCAGGAGGGAACATGGCATCAAAATGGAGAGGGCATCAGCAGCGTCCTGATGTGCTGATGTCACTCCCTGTGCACCTGGAAGTAATGACACTGTGTCACTGGGGGATGCTCAGGTATTTGGGCAAAACCCTTTGTTTAAACCATAAAGCTGGCGATGCACTGACATTGCTTCTGGTTTGCATAGCGGGCCCCCACTACCTGGAAAGCCCGGGGGGGTGGCAACTCTACCAGGAAGTTATGTCAGGCCTCTCTAGGAACTGGTGAAACTCTATGGCGTTCTTAGTGATTCCTAAAGAGACCTGACTGACATCACTTCCAGTGTTTCCACAGAAGTCCTGCCAGTCCTCTCTAGGAATCTCAGAAAATTCTATGGTTTTACCCTGGAAGTGCTAGCAGCTCTGATTTTCTTCCAATAGAGGGCATGATGTCAATTCTGCGTTTCCCAGAAATCATGTCATAGTCATACTGTGTACTGTTACCCCACCACCACAAGTCCTTGCCCTCTTAAGTCTCTTGCTGGTTGCCTGGCTGGGCCTGGAAACTACATAGTGGGGATTTTAACCTGACTCTCCCAGATTGTAATCTGATACTTTAACCACGACACCACTTTGACTCTCCAGAACATATTTTATACTGAAACAGATGTTTGGTGTTACTAATGATTCTCCACTCTGTGAAAGTGGTTGGTATTGTGAACGATTTCCTCTCAGTTTTTATATTTTTCCATTAAAATCCTGTGGGAGGAGGGGCTATGGTTTCCACTTTCTTTTACAGCTCTTGCCCTCCAAGATGTAGTCTGTGTTTTAAAACTGATCCTGAGAGATTTGACTAGATGTGCCTTGTAAGCAACACACAAATCAACATCTGTATTGTGTTTTGTATGTTATGGTGATTTCTTAACATTGATTCCTTGTGAGAATCGTGGGCTGTAAATGAAATAAGAACAGTAATTCAGAGTGTCCACCAATGGTGCTTTAACGGTGCTTTGGGGCTTGCCATTCTTCCATGCACTGACTAGGGAGGTTGGATCTCCTGCTATAGTAGGAAAACTCCCAGCCTGGACCGCTATTCCCCACTTTTGTTTGACAGGGCGGCAAGTGGGAAATGGTGCAGCGATTCAGCTTCTTGCCAACATGAGGTGTAATTTTTGTCACAAAGCTGGAAGTGACATCCTCAGGTCAGCACAGTGCTATAGGAATCCTTGAGTGTTGCCTAATGCAATGACGTCACTTCTGGTTTTCCAGTGGAAGTGATGTCACCCATTGGCGTATTGCTTTCCCCCACACCCCAGATTCTCCTGCCAGGGTGCCAACTTGGGCTTGGAAGTAAAGAAAGACCAACACCAGTGAGTTCTGTGAGATATCTCATAGCGGTTCATAGTTCAGCTGTAAGGTTTCTGTAGACATATTCTAGGTGCTAACCAGAGCTCAACTTACCATTATGCCTAGCAGTGAGGAGAAAGGACTTCAGCAAATAACAAGGACCCATTACTGTTGTGTCATCTGTCACTTGATCCAAAGAGAGGCTATGGATTATGTCCTGCCTCCGAATTGTCATTCACTGGAAGAGACAAATAACACCAGCCCTCGGCTTTATAAATTGCTAGCCAAATGTCTGTCATGATGATAGGTGTGGGCAGGGCTTTTTTTGTAGAAAAAGCCCAGCAGGAACTAATTAGCATAATTGGCCACACCCAACAGCAGAAACTCATTAGCATATTAGGACACACCCCTGACAGCACAGGTCATTAGCACATTAGGCCGCACCCCCATGTTACCAGAAGTGTGGTCATCCAGCCACACCCACCTTTTGCTTCTTATTCTGTTTACCTTGTTTGTTGTCAAAACCCAGGGCTTTTTTTGTAGCAGGAACTCCTTTGCATGTTAGGCCACACACCCCTAATGTAGCCAATCCTAATGAGTTTCTGTTGTTGGGCGTGGCCTATTATGCTAATGAGTTCCTGCTGGGCGTGGCCAACTCAGGAGCCAGCCGGAACTCCGTTCCTGTGCGTTCCTGCCCCAAAATAGCCCTGGGTGTGGGGAAATGCCCATCATTATCTGTGGGTGGGAAGGACTCATACTGCAAAGACCTCTGGACTAAAGAAGCACATTATACCGCACCATCTTCTGGAACACTCCCTATGACATCCAGTACCTGCTTCCACAGTGTAAGGGAAGAATATAGATTGAACCATCACTATAGAATGCTGTACAACAGTGCTCTAGTTTTTCCTCAAAGGAGTAATTGCTTTCCACACACACACACACACACACACACACACACACACACACACACACATAAATGGGTGCAAAAGGGTTACATTTAGGGACCTCACTGAGGTGGGGAGCAGTGTTCCCTGTAAGCTGAGTTAGTGTTTTTTAGCCTCCGTCTCACACCTTTTTGTCTTAGCTCAGGAAGGATAGCTCCATAGCAAACTACTTTATGCAGTAGCAGTAGCCAAATCACTTGCTCACAACTTTAACACCAGTAGCTCACAAAGTAAAATTTCTGCTCACAAGACTCCACAGCTTAGAGGGAGCACTGTTGAGGAGCACATCTACTTCCTGCCTTTGGTTATTCCTCTTGGTGAGAATCAAGGCTGCTCCTTCACATACATAACTCTATCCCAAGTTCCATGCTTTGGATACTCTGGATTATGATGGAAAGCTGAGCACTGGCTTTTTAGTAGATAGAGAAGACAAACAGACAGACAGACAGTGTTCTCTATTTAATTTTTTGTAGTACATTTTCTAAGGGCTGGATTCATTCCAATGTTGGAAGGAAGGAAGAAAAGATAGGTGGAAGTCATAGCCACGAAGGAGACTGGTTTTCCCTGCATTTCATTTCTTCTTCTTCTTCTTCTTCTTTGTTTCCTTGCAGTGCTGTTTTCTTTATCACTTATTTGATTCGGTAGAAGCTAGTTCTATCATAGAGCTTTTACCCACAAACCAGAGCATTGTCCCCAATGAGTGACATAGGCTCACTGTGTTTGTTTCTGGCTTATTCCCTCCCCACTCCCAGTAAATTCAGCCCCATCCCTCACCAGCTGGTCCGATGCACTTAGCAACCCTATTGGTCTCTTAGGAACTCCTGGACTCAAATCTAGCTGTTTTACTGCCAGACAACATGGCTGCCCCTCTGAAACTCCCTATGGCTTTTTATCCTTTGTTGGAAGAAGCAATCTGCACTACCTTGAAAAGCTTTGGACACCCTTCTATATACAAACCTACTTTGTTCTTCATTTTGTGTGTGCTTTCGGTGTGAATAATTCAAAGAAAACCCAAAACACCATGACTTCTTTTTGGCATCCTATTTGTTTTGAACTCCTGGCTTCCCCAAGTGGCAGAACATTCAAAGGGCTGCCTTTTACGTGGTCAGTTCTCTTGGTAGGAGAGATTACCGGGTAGTTATGGTGTTGCTGTCTTATCTATTTACAAAATACACAAATGGAGCATGGGGAATAGGGAAGGAACCTGGGCACAAACCCAGACAGACAGTTCTAATGTTTCAAGCAGCATCAGTTCTCGCAAAGCAAATAGTACGTCCTTGGATTCCCACCCCCTGGTATTAGTCTTTGCTAGCTAGCTGCCAAACTCAGATTCTCTCTTCTGGTTCTTTGCTTCACTGTGTTCAAAATGGCCAGATTACGTGTCTTGAAACACCACCTAAACAAATGAGTATTCAGTAACTACGTGAACACATGAAGCTGCCTTATACTGAATCAGACCCTTGGATCAGTCACTCTTGTCTACTCAGACAGGCAGCGGCTCTCCAGGGTGTCAGGCTGAGGTATTTCACATCACCTACTGCCAGATCTTTTAACCTGAGATGCTAGGGATTGAACGTGTGGCCTTCTGCATGCCAAGCAGATGCTCTACCACTGAGCCGCAGCCCCTCCCAGCCACCAGAGGTCAAAAGACATAAATTTTCATTCAAGTG